GTCCTCCACCGATCGAGCGTTGGTAGAACTGGGTTTAGTGGAACCTGGTTTAGTGATCTGTACCGGGGGCGCCCCCCCGTCCCACTTCCACTAACCGGAACTGCCGTCACCCGAAAAAGCACAAGCTATGGCAAACCTGGCTTAGTGATTCTGGCCAGTGCCAAGGCTCCGGGGCCCTACCACTAACCGGGTCCCCTTGCCCGGGGTCCTGGCCATACCCGAACCGAGCCATCCCTCACTGGGGGGGGGGGCGGCGGAGGGCGGGCCCCGAAGACGGCGGACGGCCAGCCGAGGAAGAGGCACGACACAGCGCATGCCGTCGCAGAGGCGCGTGCAGTCTCGGAGCCTCGAGCGTGCGGCCTGGCCTCTCTCATCTGGCGTCGGCCACCATGCCCGTCTTTTTCTGCAAGCCCGTCCAGTCGAAGCTCTCGCAGCTCGTCTCGACAGCAGAAGCGTAATCAGAACGGTGTCGCAGCGCGACGCTGTCGCAGCACAGCGCGGAGCACGACAGACGCGGGGATGAAGCTCAGGAAGAGCAACAGGAGGGACATGGCTGGGGGTCCTGAGAGTGTGTGGTGACAGACCGTGCGGCGGCATGGAGCCCCCAATGACCCTATCGCATGGCCCGTCACTGCGCGGTTTTGAGACCCTGGAGGCCGCTGTTGTCCAAGACATTCTCGGAGAACGACGCAGGTCCCCGAACCGTGGGCTCGCCCCGAATCCCCATTGACCCACCGCACCGTTTTGGGACTTCTGGTATGAAGACGGGGAAATGTAACGTCGAGCCTCTCAGAAACACGGACTGGAGATGCCCCCTCGCAGCGAAGAGAGAACTCACATTTCCTGACAATTCATAAGTTCGCCTTCTTCCCCATCCTTCTATTTCTTATCCTCCTCCTCCTCCTCCTCCACCTTCCCCTCCTCCTCCTCCTCCTCCTCCTCCTCCTCCTCCTCCTCTCACCTCTCCTCTCTCTCTCCACTTCTCCATCCTGTTCCACCTCCTCTTCACCCCTCCTTTCCTTCCCGGTGTCCAGCCGCAACGGAACCAACTCTGATCTCCCGTTTCCCACCCAGCCCGCCCTGCTTTCTTGTGCCGGAGGTGGGGGATGACGAACACGAGTAGGATTAGGTCGGGCATGTCCCCCTACAGGCGGATCTTGGACGGACAATATGAAATACCGCCAAACTATTCCAGAACACAAGAAATACTAGAAACATCGTCCCCAGACTATTTTTACGATGTCTGAGCATTCCTCCTGCAGGAGGGACAGGCCCGACTTCCGAGCAGGGCGGAGGAGGCCGACGAGGTGGCTGAGGCGGGTGAGGTCGGTGAGGTGGCTGAGGAGACGGACGAGGTGGGCGAGGAGGCTCCTCCCCCTCCACCTCCTCCTCCATCCCCGCGCCCTTCCTGGAGGGCTTTGGGGGCTCTCCCGAGGCCTCCCCTGGCCATCGCTCGGACGACCATTCTCTGTGTTTTTTTCGGTTTCGTGGTGGGTTTTTCGCCGAATGATCAAGGATGCTCCTCGATGGTCCTCGCAGAAGGAAAAATGCACACGTCCGAGCGATGCCAAGTCCCTGGGGTTGCCCGAGAGCCATCCTGCCTCCTGAGGCCCGACCGTGCCTTCCTGCTGCGTCCCGCACATTCCTGGGCTCCCTGGGGCCTGGCATGGCAAGATCAAGCAGCATCGAATCGAGGCCTCGGAGCGGATCGGCATGTGCGTCGAATCGGACGCCTCGGGCGGGATCGACGCTGAATCGGATCGGCAACGCCGGGGTGCACAGCCACGCCATGCAAGCATCGAGCCGCACCGGATCGCCAGGAGATCGGAATCGGATCGGATCGGGCCGGCCGAAGTCGATATCGGATCGGATCGACTGGACCCTGGAAGTGCACATAGTGCTCTAACAGTTGGCGTCTGCATCCCAGCTCAAACGAGGTCACGAAAGAGGCAGGAAGGGCGTGCGCTTCTTCGATAGTCATTTTCATATAGCATTCCCAGGCCCCCCCGAGCCATCCTGAAGCTCCCGAGTGCAGGCCTTGGTTGCGCTGATGCATGCCTTCCGCTCGCACGAGCCTTGTCACCGCTTTTTTGTTCCTCGGGGGGGAGGAGGAGGACGTGGAGGAACACGAGGAGGGAGGCTTGAGGGGGCGAGGAGGGAGGAAGGGAGCGACGCCCAGACACCCGCCCATCCGCTTCTGCGACTGCGCGGCCCAAGCGGCCCCGACCCCCTCGGGGGGCACACGGCCGCGGAGCGGCGCGCGGCCGCGAAGGGGGGGGGGAGCACGGGAGGCCCGCCGGGGGCGCCCCGCCCTGCCCGAGCAGGTCCCCGAGGCCAGGGCCGTGCCCCGGCCTGCTGCTGGAGCCTGGCGTGGAGTCGGGCACGTCCTCCTGCAGTTGAGTCGGGCGTGTCCCCCTGCAGGGGGATTTGCGGCGAAAAATAAAACATATCAAACAACATGCTCCCAAATGGTCAGCAGATACGAAAAAGATAGTCCACAGACTATTTTTTGGCTATTTTTGAGCATTCCCCCTGTGGAAGGACAGGCCCGACTTAATCCTACAGAGGGATGCTGCACGACACTGCCAGACAACAGTCGAGAGATCGTTCCCGGGCTATTCCGCTGCTATGTTTGAAGACTCCTCCTGTAGATGGGGCAGGCCCGACTTCCGTCTGGCGGCGATTGCAAGCAAGCATGCGGCGGGGAGCGGGCGCCTGCCGGTCCTCCGTGCCCGTGGCGGAAGCCACAGCGGGGGGCGCGGCCTCTGCGGCACGGGCGGGGGGGGTTAGGAGGCAACTACTGGGAGGTTTTCGTCGGAAAGATTAAAGAGGATTTAGCCACATCTGGGAGCTATTACGCCGGAGTGGGCCTCGGATTAAGCAGGATTCAGCCGGATTAAGCGGGATTGAGCCGGATTTCGGACCAGTGCAACATCAGAATTTGACCTCCCAGGAGTTGCATCCCAAGGGGGGGAGGTGGGGGCGGCCGCGGAGAGGGGGGGAGGAAGGCGAGGCGAGGCGAGGCGAGCGCGCGACGTCGGTCTGGCGGGGCCGGCCCTCAGAGGGCCGCGCGACGCGGGGGGCCGGAGCCCTCGGGAGACGAGTCGGCGGCAGGAGTTGGAGCCGGAGCCGGCGGAAGCCGTAGCCGGAGATGCGGGAGCTGGAGCTGCAGAGAAGGAAGCCGGGAGGCAAGAGGTGGAAGGGCAAGAGGTGGCGGGAGTGGTAGGGCCTCGGGCTGCGCGCTCGGACCCGGGCGAAAGGCCTGCGGTGGATTGGCACGGTGGAGTGGCAGAGGCACGCGGACCTGGACGTTCGCAGCATACGAGAAGGACTGGGAACGCTTGGTAGCGGAAAGCGCGGGCGCGGCCTGGCTGCACGTCTTCTCGTCGCACAAGCGCGAGAAAGATTACTTCACGCGTTTTTTTTGTTCTTCCATGATTGCAGAGATGGCGAGGGTCAGCGGTGCGTACATCGGTAAGAGAGCCATAAATACGCTCTGGCCATCTGGCCAAGCGTCTCGTGCAAGGGCCATTGGCGCGCTCCGCGAGCCAGGGACGGGGCCCAGCGCTGATCCAACAAGTAGATCCGCGCGGTGCCTTTCCTTGGGCGAACTTCGGTGGTCCAAGGGCGGCCACCCCTCCTGGAGCGAAGATTTCGCCAGCCTGATCGTTAGCAGACGGCGCCACCTGGGGCAGCGCCTCTTTTTCCCCACTCCGTTACCGCCTCCTCCTCCTCCTCGCCCTTGCCCCCTCCGCCCCTCCTCTACCTCTTCCTCGCTTGTCTCGACCTCCTGAGGCGCGACAGCCAAAAAGGCGGCTTCGGATAACAAATAATACTATAAAACGCGTCTATGCAGAAAAAAATGCTGCGAGGCGAATCCGAAACGCGCGTGCCCCCCCCCTCCCCCCTGTCCCCCTTTTTCGGCCTAAGCGCTGGGCCGCCTGGGGGACCTCTTGGGCCGTCGCGGCGACCTCGTGAGGGCCTCTGAGGCCGTGTTGGGCCGATCGTCGGGGCCTCTGGGGCCGTCTTGAAACGCCGGGAAGCCGAGAACGCCGACAAAACAACAACAACGACAACGACAACGACAACGACAACGACAACGACAACGACAACAACAACGACAACGACAACGACAACGACAACAACAACACCAACACCAACACCAACACCAACACCAACACCAACAACAACAACAACAACAGCAACAACAACAACAACAACACCAACAACAACAACAGCAACAACAACAACACCAACAACAACAACAATAAATTAAATACCGTTCGCCCTTATTTGCTCGAGTGTCCAATAACGCGTATTTCCCAAACCCTCGATACCCGCCCTCTTCGTCTTCGATCGAACCCCTTTTGGGGGGTATACCTTTCTTCCCTGCAGGCCGGGCCCCGGCAAGCGGCGGGGCGGCCGCGGACCGTCAGCCTGGCCAGCGGCAGCGCTGATCGGCGGGGCGGCCGCGGACTGTCGACCCGACCCCAAGAGGGACGGACAGGGGACCGACCACGACGACGACGACGACGACGACGTCGAAGACGACGGCGACGACGACGACGGCGACGACGAGCGAAAGCGAGAGCGAGAGCGAACGACAGCAGGGCCATGCAGGGCACAAAGTAGGCCACGAAGGGCGACAGCGGGGACACGAAGGGAATGCGTATGGGGCCACGAAGAGCGCGAACGAGCGGGGGCCACGACGTGCAGATAATGCGGGGCCACAGATGGCAACTATGGGGCCACTGAGGGTAGCAACTGGGCCACGTAGGACAGTGAGGGGGACACAAATGGCGACAGCGGGGCCACGAAGGGCATGCACATGTGGCCACAACGGGCGCGACTCCTGGGTGCCTGGGTGTCGGGAGCGCGGCGCTTGGGCAAATTGCAGGAAACTCCGACGCAAGGTCATTCTTCAGTAAGTTGTAAGCAAGTCTCCAGCGAGAGCGCGACTCCAGAGCGCCGGGAGAGCGATTCCTGCATATATTGTAAGGAAGTCCCAAGCGAAAACGCGATTCCTGAATAACATGCGAGGAAGGCCATGCGCAATCGAGGTCCCTGGGCCGCGGCCCCGGACCCCGTAGCTATGTATGTATGTATGTACGTACGTACGTATGTACGTATACATGTATGTGTGTATGTATGTATGTATGTATGTATGTATGTATGTATGTATGTATGTATGTATGCATGCATGCATGCATGCATGTATGTATGTATGTATGTATGTATGTGTGTGTCTGTCTGTATGTATGTATGTATGTATGTATGCATGCATGCATGCATGCATGTAGGTATGTATGTATGTATGTATCGAGGTGCATATATGCCTGTATGTGTTTATATATATAGAGAGTGTGAGAGATAGTTATATATGATGTGTATGAATGTTTATTGATACATCTATACAACCGCAGACGCGGGATATGAATCATTTCCAGTTATTCTTTCGAACACGGAAGTAACACCACCGTAGATGCGCCCATCGTGCGCCCCATCTCCCACACCCCGAACTCCTCGTACTGGTGCTGGTCTTTATACAGGTGTTCTATTGTGACCGCCATTGCCTGCAGTAAGCAGTGTCAAACACATGCGAAATGCCGTTCCCAAGATCTTGAGCTTGAGCCAGAATAGCTACTGCATGTAACGTTCAGATCTCAGGCTAGAAAACACGCGCGCGATTCGACTGTTGCCCTCTCCCCCTCCTCAGCCTCCCGCCTTAGGAGGCGGGAGGCAGAGGACGGGGAGAGGGGAACAGTTGTTTCGCGCTCCTTCGATGAGACAAGCTCCTCTCCCCCCCTCCTCTTCCTCTTCCTTCTCTTCCTCCTCCTCCTCCTCCTCCTCAGCCTCAGCCTCCTGCCATTAGCCTCGCCCCACTCACGGGGGGGAAGGGGATGGGAGGGGAGAAAGAGGATGAGGAGCAGGAGGCGGAGAAGGGCGGGAAGGGTTGATGGGCGAGGGGAGGATGAATTGTAGGATTCTAGGTTGGCTTCGCGCGCGCCCGCGAGGGGAGGATCGAGGGGGAGGAGGCGATGGAAACGAGTGGGAGTAAGAGGGTGCACGAGGAAGCCTCCTCCTCCTCCTCCTCCTCCTCCTCCTCCTACGGAAATCCTCCTCGCCCCTCATCCTGCATTTCCCCCTCGCCTTCCCCTCCTTGTCTTCATCGACGCGGACGCCGCCGCCGTCGTCGGAACGAATACGACCCCCCCGCCGCGGAAGAACGAGCAAATCTGTCGTGCCACGACGGGCTGTGCGCCCACAAGGAAGAACCTGTCTAGCGCCTGGGTACTCCAGATTTCGTAATAAAAGGGAGGGGGTCTCATTTCGGGGGGGGTCTCTTCCAGGCTATCTTGGAGGGCCTGGGGGGGTCTGGGGACGATGTTTTGGAGGGTTCTCCCACGGGGGAGGTCTGAAATGGCTTGTCTTGGAGGGTCCAGACCCCCTCCCTTTTATTACGAAATCTGGAGTAGACAGGTCAAAGATCACTTCTGGCGCCAGCGACAGGGCACCGGGCAAAACCTCAGAACGAGCGAAGTCCTCGTCGTCGTAGTCCGCCGCCGCCATGGCGGCGGCGGACTACGAGAAGCACAGCAAACGAACAACAAGGGTGCACCCTGTCTAGAAGAACAGCAAACGACGTTCGCGAGTGGGCGTGTCCTCAGATCCTTTGCCTGCTCCCCTGAGCCTCAGTCCTCAATCCTGAGGATTCTGAAGGGGCCTGGCCTGGAGCCCAAATTCTCAAATCTCTCGGGGCTTGCCGCGTCGCGTCGGGGATCCGGCGCGTCTTCTCGCGTGACTTGTTCGGGCCGAAGAGGGCCTCAACGTGAGCCCAGAGGGCCCCAAGAGGCCCCCGAGACGGTCCCAGAGAGCCCCGTGTCGCCGAACGATCGCGCCAAGACGCCCAAGATGGCCTCAAGACGGCCCCAACGCCTCCAAAACGCCTCCTAAGTGGCCCCACGAGGCAACGCTCGTTGGTTGTCCTTTGGTTTTTGTTGGATGTTGGCGTTCTCGCTTTTTCGGCTTCACGGCGCTCGCAGACGGCCCGAGAGACCCTCAAGATCGCCCCAGGACGGCCCCCAAGACTGCCCAAGAGGCGCCCAAGACAGCCTAAGAGGGCCTAAAGACGGCTCCAAGAGGGGGCTCAGATAGGGGGGGAACCCGAACGGACATTTCCGCTTCTCGAGTAAAGGGGGCCCCAGGAGGCTCCAAGAGGCCCCCAAAGAGGCCCCCGAGAGGCCCCAAGGGGGCCCCAAGAGGCCCCAAGAGGCCCCCAAGAGGCCCCCAAGAGGCCCCCAACAAGCTCCCATATGAGGCCCCAAAGCTGCCCCCGAGAGCGCCCCGAAGATACCCAAAGACACATCCTTGAGGACTCTGGCCCTCGATCCAGGCACTGGATGGGCCAAAGGCCATTACACCAGAGAAAAATCCCACTCAATGGATGGCTTGATGAATCGTGGGATCGACAACGAGATCGATGAAGATCGACCGGGAACCAATAACTCAAACCCAGAAACCCAAAACCCAAAACCCACCGAAATCGACCCGGAACTAAGAACCAAGAACCGGGAGCCCGGAACCGGGGACCTGGGAACCCAGCCGGCCACCGAACTCGGCAGGAAATGTTCGCCAAATCTGTCAATTTCCGCGAGGACCCCTTCAGTGCAAGCACTGATTGGAAAATGAAATAAAAAAGACAACTTTCAGTTGTCCTGCAGTCCTCGCGCGCTCTTCGGGTCGGCGCGAAGCTCCCCTCCCTGGTTCTCTCCCTCTTCTCCGTTTCTTCTTTCTCCCCCGCGTGCTCCCCGGAGGGTTTCCGCACCGGCTGGGGCAGCACGTGGTCGGATAGCCTGGCAGAGCTCTGGCCACAACGTTCGGCCACATGAGCCATTTCAAAAGGCAGAGGGCGGCGGTGAATCGCCGTAGGCTTCTTCGATATAAACAAGACAACTTTCGGTTGTCCAGTGGTCCTCGCGGGCTCTTCGGGTCGGCGCAAGGCTGCCCTGCCTGGCGAGCGTCAGCGCGACAGGGGGCGGCGCGAGAAACACCACCGATGAAGGGCCTAACGCCAACCCAAGAAATCCGCGCGGAACTCCGAAACTGTATGTAGACTAGCCGGCCGCCCTGTGGTGAATCGGGAACTTTGTATATCTATTGATCTATCGATCTATCGATCTCGAGAGAGACGAGAGAGAGAGAGAGAGGGAGAAACAGAGAGACGAAACACGCGCTTGTTCCGTGACGCCGTCGGCCCCTCCAATGGGGCCGATTTTGCGAGGATGTCCCGAAGGAGGGCGCCGGTCTAGGATTCTGCGCCAGATTCGCCAGAAAAAGGTGCAGGAAACGCAATTATTGGCCACACTTCCTGGCGCGTCAGGGGTCAGGATGACGTGAGTTCCATAGAACCTCTCTCACATTACTATTTGCACGTTATGCCACTACCCAGGGCCAGAACGATGCTTTTTCAGAAGACCGAGAAAGGCGGACGCGAACAGCGACACGTGACCGCAAGCTGTGAGGGGCTTCAGCACGGCACCCTGAGCGTTGCCTCGTAATCTTCGCTGCATCAACTGCCCCACTCTTGCTCGACCGTCGCCGCGCCTGCCGCCATCGCCGCCTCTGTCGCCATCCTCTGTTTGACGCGCGGGGCCTCGTCGGGGGCGGCGAGGGCCAGCTCCGCGTCCGCAGCCGCCTGGCCGGCGGCCACAGACTCCCTGCGCTCCTCCTCGGGGGGGGCGGCGTCGGGGCGACGGGGCCCGGCCGGGGCGGCGGGAAGGGGGCGAGGCGGCCTACTCCGTTTGTGCGTACGGAGCTGGATGGACTGGGTTCCCCGCATCGGCCAAGACACCCCCGCCCTGGGAGGAGGAGGAGGAGGAGGAGGAGGAGGAGGAGGAGGAGGAGGAGGAGGGGGCAGGCAGGCGCGCGTGTTTGTTGAGGGGGACGGGGGGCCCTGCTCCATCTCCGCTCTCGTCTCCTGCTGCTGCGCCTCCTCTCGCTCCCCCTGCCCCCATCCCCACTCTTTCGCTCCTGCTCCTCCTCCTCCTCTGATCCTCCACCGCCGCCGCCGCCGCCCCCCGCAGGGGTCACACGGTCAGACGGGCGATGCGGCTGCTCGTGGTTGACTTGTGTTGTTCCTGTCTACTCTGTTCTGCTGCGTGTTGTGTGCCACTAGCGCGGGTGTACCCTCCGCGAGGGGCCGAGAGACAGAGAGAGAGAGAGAGACACACAGAGAGAGGTAGCGTCCCTGGCAATCTCGCCCGCGCAAGGCTCTGCAAGCGCACTTGAGCGCCACCAGCAGCCGCCAGCCTCCAGATCTCTGCCGTCGCATTCCCCGGGGCGCGGCGCAGGTGACCGCTCCTCTAAGTCGGGGGCGCTCGCCCCTGCCGCGGCCGTCGGCCGAGCTCCTACCTGCTGCGCCACTCTGGCTCCTACGCGTGCTCCTGCTGCTGCTGCTGATCTCCCTCCCCCTTTTTGACGTTAGGCGGACTTCGATGGCTATAGTCGTAGCGTTCGCCCCCCCACCCCCTTTCCCACTCCCGTCCCTCCTCCTTCGCCACCTTCCCCCCTCCACCTCCTCCTCCTCCTCCTCCTCCTGGAGGCTGGACGCTGCGGGGTCTGGTAGTCTGGTACTTTTCTCGGGCGCAGCCCTCCCTCCTCCTCCTCCTCCTCCTCCTCCTCCTCCTCCTCCTTCTCCTCCTCCTCCTCCTCCTCCTCCTCCTCCTCCTCCTCCTCCTCCATCTCCTCCTCCTCCTCCTCCTCCTCCTCCTCCTCCTCCTCCTCCTCCTCCACCACGAAGATCGACCCCCCAGGCCTCTCCAGGGGTGCGCTCTGGCCATGCTTCCGGGGGGGCGAATCCAGCCGCAGCGACGAGGACGCCGCCGCGCCTGCAACGGCGGGGCCGTCAACATTCGGGAAAAGGCAGATCCAAAGGCGTCGACAAACCAGATATCAAGCGAACCCGAAGCTCACGCTCCCCCGAAAAGAACCCAAAACGGGGGTAGCCCGGTCCCGTGCCCCCCCCCCCCCCGGGCCGCCCGCCCGACCACCCCCGTTGCCCAAGCGGTGGCTGCGGACCCCGGAGATCTCGACCGCTTCCCAACCTCTCATCTTGAATAATGTTCGACCGGTCTCGGGGCCGGGCACCAGCCTCTGGAAGCCGAGCGCAATGAAGAACCCGCCGTCGCGACGACTTTGCAACGCTCAGGCCTGATGGGAAGCCCAGCACCTCGACCCTCGAATCTCCCCTACCGGGGCCCCGAGCACGGAGGAGGGGGAAAAGGGAGGAGGGGGATGAAGGAGGGGGATGGAGGGGAGCTTTCACTGGATCAAACCACATTTGAGAAAGTGAAGAGGGGATGGAGGAGGGGAAGGAGGAGGCGGAGGAGGAGGAGGAGGAGGAGGAGGACGAGGAGGGGGAAGACGAGCAGGAGGAGGAGGAGGAGGAGGAGGAGGAGGAGGAGGAGGAGGAGGAGGAGGAGGAGGAGGATAGGAGGGAGGATAAGGAGGATGAGGAGGAGGAGGAGGCGGAGGAGGAGGACCCTGACAGCGGAAGCCGCGAAAAAATGTCAGCATGGTGACTAAGCACGTCCAGAGCACGAATCCCATTTTTTGCGCCACCTTTTGGAACGGATCGATCTGTGATGGTCCTAAGACCAAAAACTGAGCGGAAACGCGCCCCGTTCGACAAACATGCAGACGCCGTGATTTCAGGGGAGAAGGAAGCAGAGGAGGACATTGTTGATGATGCTGCTGGTGATGATGCTGATGATGAAGAGGAGGAGGAGGAGGAGGAGATGGAGGAGGAAGAGGAGGAGGAGGAGATGGAGGGGGAGGAAGAGGATAGCAGATGATGATCTGAAGAGAAGAAGAGAAGGCGGACGGGGAGGAAAAGGACCGCGCTGGCCGGTCCCAGCACCGTAGCTGATGGCTGCGCTTTCCTGGTAAATTATACGCGCATCCTTGTGTTCAACGCCCGTTTGCGTCTCGGTGTTCGCCTGCGGCTGAACCTGCTTCGGTGCCTCATCACTCTCCGAAGCGCCCAGCTGCGTCAACACTGTGTCGGCCAGCGCGAGAAAGAAATCTCTTTCGCCGCGGCAGCCACGAGGAAACCCAGGGCGGGGGCGTCGGGCAGGACGTGCTCGGGGAAGCCGTCAAGCCCAATGATGAAGCCGATGATGTACTCGATGCCGCTGCTTCCCTCCATGCTGGTAATCGCTTCGCCACCGCTGCCACGGATGAGCGCAGCCGGGCCAATACATCGCGGCGCGCCCTTGCGCTCAATCGCGGCCTCGACGACGGCGGCCTGCAAGCCCTCTAGCTAACGTGGCGGTAGCCGGGCATCACCGGGCGGAACGGTATGTCTCGCCCATTTGCCATTTGCCCACCTCCATCGCTTCCACGGCGTCCTGGAGCTGTCGCGGCGGGAGCCCCACCAGTCGGGAAGCTGACGCCGCTTCGCCCACGGCGGGGAAGTGGGCGTCCAACGCGCCCGCGATCGACCAATGCTCGACGAGCGCGGCTCTCGCGCCCTTGGCCCTTGGGCCTGTGCGCGAGCGCACCCGGCGAGCCAGATCACGTGCGCCTGCCGCGGGATGGAGAAGGGGGAGGAGGAGGAGGAGGAGGAGGAGGAGGAGGAGGAGGAGGAGGAGGAGGAGGAGGAGGAGGAGGAGGAGGAGGAGGAGGAGGAGGAGGGGGGAGGAGGAGGAGCCCGTCCCCTTCGCGGCCGCGCCCTGTCTCCATCAGCGACTACCTCAGGAGGCCCAGCAGCTGCGGGGCTCCCCGAGTAACTACCATGATACGTGCCTTGACAGTCTGGCGGGCGAGGGTGGCAGAGGGGCAGGGGCGAGAACGCAAAGCTTCCAAGGCATCATGAATGCGGTCTAGAACGATGAGACAGGACGGGGGAGCCGCATCATGCGCGGTGGAAGGAGGTGAGGAAGAAAAACGCTCGCAGGTTCATGACCCCAACTAGGTGGGAGCGCAGGCAAAAGTCGGATGAGAAGAGGCCCGATGACGGGGCACACCGCTCAATGGAGCCGGTCATCTCCTCCGACGCAGGCGCTGCCGAACATGCAATTATGGGCGCCTTGCCGAAATCTCCTAGACGCGCTCCAACTATTGAAGATTGACTTCAAGAGTGCAATGAAGACGAAAGGAGGAAACATGTAGTTGCTTTTCAGGATCACCTGGAGGGGCAGGCCGAGGTCTTCGGGGCTCATTGCGGGAGTCCCATTGCGGGGCCCAGGAAAATGATCTTGGCCATGGGCTGGGAGTGGAGCTCTGATCTAAATCAGTTTCTTCTGCGCGTTTTTTGTTCTGGGTGTCCTCGGGGGGCCTCGAGGTGAACTCGGGGCCGTGGAAGTCTTAAAGCACGCGCCAAAACAGGGGGTCCTTCAAATGCGGGGGCCAAGAGCGCGCTGCGATGTGATCTGCGCCGGCGACCTTCTCCTCGCGCTGCGCTGCGAGACGGGGGAACAAACCTGAGTTGAATGCGACGCGCAGGCGGGCCGCGAGACCTCTCGCGAGCAGGTCGCCGGCTCGCGCCTTGAGACGGGCTTCCTTGAGGCGAGCGAAGATGGCAGGAGGGAGCGACACACGCGCCTGGGTGCGCAAACGTAAATCTGCAAAGCCTCTCGCTCAGCACGTCTAACAGCAGCAAAGAGCGGGGGCCCTAAGAGGTGTAATTGGCATCAGAAACTGCGTATTTATCATGGGCAGTAATGCTAATGGCAAGACCGTGCTCCATTTCTTGACGGACAAAAACCTCTGGGTCAACTTGGAGGCAGCGGGTTTCCGAGAGAGTCGCGGGCCACCCCGCCCCGAGATAAGCCCCAAATACTTGCCATGATGAGAAATCGCAAATTTGGCCGGCGCGGGCCCCAAGACGCCGACGCTTGGCTCAGGCGCTGGGAAGAGAACCGGGATCGCGAATAAGCATAACGTATTTCTTGGCATTCAGGAGGGGCCCAGACACGGGCCCGCAGTTCGCGATCTGGCGAACAACCTGCGTGGGAGCAGGATGGATGTCGGCGGCGATGAAACTGAAGTCGCCAGCGAACGCTACAATCTGCGCGGGGGGCTGGGAAGGGGGGGGGGGCGCGAGAACCTGTGGGGCGGGGCGATGGCGGAGGGAGGAGGAGGAGGAGGAAGAGGAGGAGGAGGAGGAGGAGGAGGAGGAGGAGGAGGAGGAGGAGGAGGACGCGATTAGGACGCCTCGGGAGCGGGCGCCCCTGCTCGGCGCCCCGCCGGGCCAAGGAAGGAGACGGGGCCAGCGCCGCGGGGAGACATTACGCGCTTCGCGGAGGGGCGCGGGGGAGAGCGATGGCAAGGGCCATGAGCGCGGGAACGTTGCAGGCGCGCAGGGCCGATGGCGCGCTGGCGGACATGCTGCGCCGCGGGGAGGAATTGCGCGCTTCGCGGAGGCGCGGAGGAGAGCGATGGCAAGGGCCATAAGCGCGGGAACGTTGCAGGCGCGCAGGGCCGATGGCGCGCTGGCGGATACGCCGCGCGGAAACCGAAGAAACGCGCCCCAGCCCGCTTCTCGCCCTTATATTGCCAGCCAGTGGGCAAGATTGAAGTCAACCTCGAGAACATTGTCGAAGATCTGACGACTATTGATCAGGCCGCGTTGGGACCCATTGAGCTAATCGCGAGCAACTTCAGCGATTGGCTACTGATCAGTTTACTGCCTGTGTTCGAGAGAGCGATGGGGCGAGCATCTTCGACCGATTTGCTGATGCGACCTGGGCCCGCGAAGGCCCCCTTCGGCATGGGGGTGACGTTGCGAGCGATGGAATCCCCGCTCCAGGGGCTGCCACCTAGCAAGTGCTGGTGCACAGTAAAGCCTTGCTTCCTGCGCGCGAGGTCCGGGCGCCCTCCGGGCGCTGTAGCGGCGGCCGTCGTGTCCGGGGGTCGAATCCTTGTTCCTGTCGAGGAGGTCTTGCAATCGTCAAAAGCGAGGGCCACGTGCATTCTCGGATGACTGCTGTTGGCGAACTGGCGAAGGTCCGAGGGGAGAGGGGGAGCGGCGCGAAGGAATTCCCCCCCCCGCTCCTGGGCCCTCCTGGCCGCGGTCGAACACGGGGCCCCATTTGTCAGCGAGCGCCCCGGCGCAGACGTTGGGGCCGGGAAACTCGGAGCCGTCCACTCCGATGATGCCTTTTATCGGAAGTGGTGCGCTGGGCGGCCTCCCAGGGTCGCGCAAGCCGCCGAGCGCAATTGAAATGGATATCGGAGTCGCTCGGCTGCAGACTGGCATCGGCTCGGGCGGTGCACTCCTCTTCCTCGAGCTCGTTGCGCATGGGCTGGGAATGGCGGCGATGGAAACCAAGTTAATGGGTGGACTCCTGGGGGCCAATGTCGTAGAACTCTCCGAGGATCGGGCGCGCGCGAAGAGCTTGCTTCGCACCGCTCCTGACGTTGCCCCTGTGGGCGCGTGCGAGCCCGAGGCAGCGGGCGATCTTCGCGCGGCGATTCTCGGCTTGCGAACGGTGCGCTTCGGGCTTGCACTCGTGGCCCGCAGCGACCGTGGCAGCTTTGACTTCGAGGGTGCGACCAGTCGGGTCGTCGCTGAAATCTTGACAAGTGGCCGACTCTTCTAACTCGCCAGCCTATGACGGCCGCGGGGGCATCCACGGCGGCTGGCAGGGGTCTCCATTCGGCTTCCAGGGTTCGAGGTGGAGTCAGACGGGGGCGCGGTCAGAGGGGAAGGAGAGGTCGCGCGCGTTCCAGGTGGTAGAGCCCGCTGGGTTGAGGTCTCGAGGTCGGCGCTGGGGAGGTGGGAGCATATCCGATCGAGCGATCGAGCTGGACATCGAAGACAGAAGAGGTTGGAGAGGACGCGATGCGCCGCTGGGCGCGAGGCCAGAGAGGGCAACGCGCTTCGCACCTGCGGCGACGTTCAACCTTGAGCCCCCCCGCCCCCAGACATTCAAGCTCCCCGGGGTAAAAGCGGGGGAGGGGGCGGAAGGAAGAAAGGCACCCTGAATAATCCGGAACTGATCACGGACCCTGGGATCAGCGAGCTGTGGGCCCACGCGCGCACTGGCAATCGCTCGTGCCCCGCGTGGCCCCGGGGCCGGGGAAGGGCGCGCCCATGCGGCAGTCCGCGGAATGCATGGCGAGAGAACTCTCGCTTCATCTGATGGGAGACGAAGATGAGGAGGCCCGCCAAAGCTCGCGGCGCTGCATGATGAACTAGGCGCAGCGTGCTGATTACTGTCCCTGCGGAGGGGGGGGGGGGGCCCGGTCCCATGGGTCTCGTGTGCTGCCAGAATCTCTTTCTGTTGTCAGAACTTGTGAAGCTAGCGCAATGCGACGGCGACGGGATTGGTCAGCGCACGTGGAGCCGCTGAGAGCCTGCGAGTTCCACGTTGAGACGCGGAGCTGGGATGAGGGCAGAAAAAAGGGTGAGGCGGCAAACTGCGCGGCTCTCCCAAGACATCTACTCGGGCCGCGGAGGCGGAAGGAGGAGGCGGAATTTGCGGCGGGGGCCGCGATCGGCTCGGCTGTTTCACAGCACACCTGAGTGAGAGCAGCGACAGCGAGAGCTGCTGCGCAACATTGTGAGAACTGGAGCTGCATCCCCTGGGCCCCATCCAGGCCATCCCAAACATTGAAACCCACGTCACTCACGATGGTTCTATTCAATAAAGCATCGGCCTGCGAGGGGGCTTTTCGCAAGTCTTCGATCAGCCCCTGCGCCTGCTCATCGCTGATGCCCCAGAATGTGAGCGCATTCTTGAACAGCTTGAAGGTGAAATTGTCGCCAGTCGCCTGCTTGACAGCGATGAGCTCGTGCGCAACCGTGTCGGTGAACACCTGCAGCGCGCCCTTGTGACCGTTGACGTCCAGCTTGCAGGCGGACGTCCAGTTGGGGCTCATGAGGAGGAGCTGCTTGGCTGACGCGTAGATGCTAGAGAAAGCCCGGTTCTTCTGGCGCGCGTGGGGCGGGGGGGCCCCCTGACCCTCAGGGGGTGGATGGATTGGTCGCGGAAGTTCTGCTGCGCGAGCCCAACATGGTTCGTTTGTTTCTAAAAAGCGGCCGCTGTGTCAGCACGAAGGAACCTGAGCTTGTACACCTGCGCGATGCCATGAAACTGAAATTCAATGCCTTCGCCGTCGCCAAGTTCGTCAGGAAACCTAGCATTCATCTGCTCGAAATGCGCTTCGCGAGTTTTGAGAAGCAGCGGGCGGGTAAAAGAGCCCACGAACTTGACGCACGGGTCGCCCATCTCGAAACCGTGAGTGAGATCGATCGCACCATCCAGTCGCCGACTATTGGTGCCACCATCCCCGAAGGAACGAAAGGTGGATGTGGATGCCATACTCAGAGTTGCACTCGCACCAGCTTCTACTTTTCCCAGTCGTAGCTATTGTGCTTGAGGGCGGCCAAGACAGCGTTTTGTGCGGTGATCTGGCCCTGGAGTCCTGCGGTGGTGGTTTGTATCTCGGTCTTGACCGACTCTTCCATCGCAACACTCAGCTCCGAGAGCATTCCGTTGAGCACGTCCTTCAGCTCAGCGGCAGACATGGCTGCGGGGTCGCCTCTGGGAGGCCTGCCGGGTCGCCTGTCGACCCCTAAAGCGGTTTTGCTCGAACCCCCCCTCGGCGGCGAGCAAACGCCAGGGACGCACGTTTCGAACTTGAGCCAAAATCGCTACGAATAGGACGAGGACGACGAATAGGAGGAGGAGGAGGAGGAGGAGGAGGAGGAGGAGGAGGAGGAGGAGGAGGAGGAAGAGGAGGAGGAGGAGGAGGAGGGGGATGATGATCAGAGGGAAGGAAAAGAAGGCGGACGGGGGGGACGAGGATGTGATGCTGATAGTGATGATGACGACGATGATGATGAGGGGGAGGAGGAAAAAGGAGGAGGAGACGGGGAGGAGGAAGAGGAGGAGGACCTGTGCAAACCAAACCGTCATCAACGATATTACAATACGACCCTCCTTTCAAAATCCATGTTAATCGGCCCTGCACGGGCTCGTTCTCATTGAAGGACCTGCCCGTTGGAAAACAACCGTTTGAAAATCCTGAACTGTTCCAGAGCACCCTCCTGGGGCTTCAACGCCGCGAATCACCGTTACTGTTGCGTCTTGACAATCCAGAATCGTCCCGAAGCACCATTCCTGGACTTCGACACTGCGAATGCACGTGACTATTGCGCCCTGACCACCCAACATCGTGCCAAAACATTATTTCTGAGACGCTAGCCATGAACATCCTCGAAACTGCTGCGAACTCTTAAACAGGTGTACGCGGCGCTGAAACGAGAACCACATTTTGAAACAGAACCGCCCTCCATCCGAAAAGCTCTTGCGAATTTTTAAAACGAATTTGCGCGGCGCTGAAGACAGACTCGCGTTCTGACAACGTCGCGTCCTCCATTTGTAACAATGCTGCAAATCTCAAGTTTTTAATTGGTGAGGAGGTATCAAGCGCAGCAGCCGGTTCGCCCATTCGACTGGCCCCAGAGTGCGAAAGATAATCGTTATTTGCAAGGGAGAGGGATGGAGGATCGGACGAGGGTGATGAGGAAGAGAGGGGGAGGAGGAGAAAGAGGAGGAGGAGGGGGAGGAGGAGGAGGAGGAGGTGGCGGAGGAGGAGGACGATGAGCACGACGACAACGAGGAGGAGGACGGGGAGGAGGAGGAGGAGGAGGAGGAGGAGGAGGAGGAGGAAAAGGATCGGATGACCATGTGCGGCGGAGACCGCGGCTCCTCCTCGGCGCGGGAACTGCGCGGGGAACCAGGCAGGCTCGGGCAGCCGGCGGGGGCCAAGCGGGCGGCGCCCCCGTCGGCAGGGAGCCCCGCCTCCTCCTGGGCGGGGGGGGCAGAGACGGATCGCCTACACGATGTCCTCCTCTTCCTCCTACTCCACGGTATCTCCCGCCTCCTCCTCCTCAGCGATCTCTTTCTCCATCGTTTCATTCCACACGATCTGCTCCTCCACCTCCTCCTCCTCCTCTTCCTCCTCGTCCTCCTCCTCCTCAGCGATCTCTTTCACCATCGTCTCATTCCTCACGATGTGCTCCTCCACCTCCTCCTCCTCCTCCGCGATATCCTCCTCCACCTCCTCTTGCAGCGCCATCCTTCTCATGGCGCTGGCGTTGCTGGCGTGTGAATCCTCCAGGGATGCTGCCACCCTCCTCGTCATCCTCTTCGTCCTCCTCCTATTCCTGCTCCTCCTCCTCCTCGTCGTCGTCGTCCTCCACCTCATCCTCCTCCATGAAATTTTCCGTATGAATGACTTTTCCCTGTCGCACCCCGAGGCCCGTCGAAAGGGCGAACCAAGCGATTCGCCGGAAACTTCCTCACCATTTATGACCCCGATACTCTAAACATTGCAAACGCTTTACAAATTGAGGGCAGGTCATCTTCAAAATGTGGCTCTCGCGTTAGCGCCGCGCACATTCGATTCAAAACGATGCATGATCTTCACGGATTGAGGGCGGGTCGTTTCCAGAATGTGGCTCTCGTCTCAGCGCCGCGCGCATTGGTTTTTAAAGCTTTGCTAGAGTTTCACGGATGGGGGGCGGCTCGTTTTCAAAATGTGGTTCTCGCCTGGGCGCCGCGCGCAGTCCTTGTTAAATGTTGCAAGAGATTCGCGGACCCCCATGGTCAACGTGCCAGATTTTTTTTGTTTTAGATCGGATGTGATGGGGGTGAGATCGAAGTGGAACGGAGAGCCCCCCTACCGGGAAATCGGTTTCGGTTTCGTGTTCGTGCGTGCCGTGCGTGCGCGAGAAGTGCCCCGCCTCTGGCTGAGGCGCGGCCGGACCAAATGTTTCCTGTCCTGGGGCCGGTGGCGCGCGGTCCCCCGCCGGTGTCCAGTCGGTGTCCCGATGATGATGGTGATGATGACGATGTTGGTGTTGATGATGATGATGATGATGATGGCCATGGTGGTGCTGATGATGGTGTCCCGATGATGACGATGATGATGATGATGACGATGATGATGATGATGATGATGATGATGATGATGAGGACGCTGATGTTGGTGATGATGATGATGCTGATGGTGCCCCGATGATGATGATGACGGAGAGGATGATGATGATGGTGTCCTGGTGCTGATGATGATGAACTTGGTGATGATGGTGTTGATGAGAATGATGGTGATGATTGTGTCCCGATGCTGATGATGATGTTGATGATGATGGCGATCATGGTGTTCTGATGATGATGATGCTGATGCTGACGAGGTTGATGGTGGGGATGATGATAAGGTGATGATGATGATGATGATTTTGGTGATGTTGGCCATCTGATGATGATGATGCGGATGTTGATGATGATGATGATGGTGCCCCGATAATGAAGATGGTGATGCTGATGATGGAGACGATGATGATGAAGTCCCGATGATGATGCTGATGCTGATGCTGTTGCTGATGATGATGATGGTGTCCCGATGATGATGAAGTTGCTGATGCTGTACATGGTGATGATGAGATGATGATGATGATGATGATGATGATGGTGGCGTTCCGATGATGATGGTGATGATGATGGTGCCTCGATGCTGATGATGTTGATGATGGTGACGATGATGGTGTCCGGATGATGATGGTGATGATGATGATGGCCATCGTGGTGATGAGGATGGTGTCCCCATGATGATGATGTTGATGATGCGGATGATGGGGTCCCGATGATGATGGTGATGTTGGTGCTCCTGGTGAAATTGGTGATGATGGGGTGATGAGATGATGATGAAAATGATGATGGTGGTGTCCCAATCATGATGCTGATGAGGTTGATGATGATGCTGTTCATGATGATGATGGTGATCATGATGATGGTGTCCCGATGATGATGATGATGTTGATGATGTTGATGGTGTTCCGATGATAATGATGCAGGTGTTGTTGATGATGCGGATCATGAGGTGTTGATGATGAATTTAATGATGTTGACCCGCTGATGATGATGCGGATGTTGATGATGATGGTGTTGCTGGTAATGATGATGCTAATGGTGCTGATGATGATGGTGACGGTCATGATGGTGCCCGGTTGATGATGATATTGGTGATGATGATGTCGGTGATGATGATCATGGTGTCCCGAAGGTTGATGGTGGTGATGATGTTGTTCATGATGATGATGAGATGATGATGATGGCTGCGTTCCGATGATGATGATGGTGTCCCGATGCTGATGATGTTGATGATGTTGATGGTGATGAGGATGGTGTCCCGATGATAATGATGATGATGGTGATGATGATGATGTTCATGATGGTGATGCGGTGGTGGTGATGATGATGTCCCGATGGTGATGATGATGTTGATGACGTTGATGACGATGGTGTTGAGGACGATGATGACGTTGATTGTGAGATCTATTGTGGTACCGATAGTGAGATCGATAGTCAGGCCGAACGTGAGATATATTGTGAGATCGATAGTGAGATCGATAGTCAGACCGATTTTGATATCGATCGAATGAAATAGATCGAGTGAGACCGATTGTGAGATCGATCGAGTGAGATCGATCGAGCGAGACCGATAGTGATATCGATAGTGAGACCGATCGGGTGAGACGTTGGTTCCCCTTCCCCCCGAACCTCCTTATCACCCGAAGGGTGTTATATGTATATATAACGATACTATGAGGATGCATCAGTTAATTTGATTCGCGGTGTTGAAAGCCCAGGAGCGGCGTTCTGGCACGATTCAGGATCGTCAAGACGCAACAGACAGGTTAATCCGTGGCGTTGGAGTCCCGAGAAGAATGTTGTGGCACGCTTCAGGCTCTTCAAACTGTTGTTTTCAAACGAGGCAGTCCCCTCAGTGGAAATGAGCCGCTGTATGGGGCCTAGAAAGGAGCTTGGAGGGAGGGTTTCTTCCAACATCATGAAAGACTCTTGGGTTTACAGTCGTCCTTTTCCTCCTCCTCTTCCTCCTCCTGCTCGTCGACCTCATACGTATCCTCCTCATCCTCCTCCTCCCGGATCTCCGACGGCATGTTTTTTTCAGTACGGCCGTTCGCGTCGTGTACATAATCACCACGAGAGGTTTCCCGCTGTGCTCGTGCGTGCGTGTGTGTGTGTGTGTGTGGCCTCCACGGGGCCGCAGGGCCCCAGGGCCGTGTAAAAACTACTCTGAAGTCGAGCCTGTCCCTCTACCTACGGGAGGACTGTGCAAGACATTTCTTGTTTTCAGCCCGGAGGGTTTTTTTTGTTTGATTTTTGTTGCGCATGTTCTGCACATGCTTGAAGTCTGTCTTTTATTTGTCGTCCAACATCCGCCTGTGGGGGGACACGCCCGACCTAAAACTACTCAGGATGCAACGCCGGCCCCCCAGGGGTCGACCTCCCCAGATCTCCGGCGATCGAGGAGGTGGGGACGAGAGGAGGTGGCGAGCGAGGGATGAGGAAAGGAGCGAGGCCTTGTATAGACGAAGCCCGCCATCTTGCCCTGGGAATATCACAAGTGGGTCTGGGGCAGCGTGATATTCCTAGGGAAGCGGTCGGGAAATCTGTGGCCGCGAATTGAACAAATCGTAACGGCGGATGTCGGGGCATCGTCGTAACAAAATCACAACAGACAATCTCTGCCTGTTCTCAACCTCTTGGGGGCCTTATTGCGGCCTGGGACGAGAGGACTCCCAGTTGGGGCAGGAGAAGATTGGGTCGGAAGATCTCACCGCATCGCCGATGCAGCGGCGGCGTCCGCAAGGAACAGATCGGGCTCCACATCTAGCCGCATCCCCATGCGCTGCCGATGCGGCGCGATCCTATGACCCCATCTACTCCGACCCCATCTGGAAGGCCCAGAAACACCGTTTCAACCGATTCGGGGTAAGAAGCGGCTCCCCAGTCCAGACCCGGGCAGGCAGGCAAGCAGGCAAACAATGGACTTGCATCCCTTGCGATCCTGGCGTCGCATGCTTTGCACTATCTCGGGCCCAAGGGTCCCTCACGGATCGATCCGTCTCGAGAAATGCCGTCATGATGCGCGGGAAAATGGCCGCCTCCATAGAAACGCTTGGGCCAAACAACCACCCGGAGGGCCAGAGGTACTCCGGTCCAGTGGCTGAAGCTATGCCGACAGGTAATGCAGTCATGCGCGTAGGGGCACCTTGGACATTGAGTCCCAGGCGGACGATTATGTCACATGTGCTCCCGTCTCGCGTCACTGGCCATCGCTCGGACGTCCATTCCCTGTGCATTTGTCGGTTTCGTGCGTAGTTCTCTCGCCAAATGATCAAGGATGAGCACAACTTGCTGCCGCGCGTTCGAGCCCGGGAGCGCGAGGGAGGAGGCCAACAAGAGCGCGGGGTTGGACAAAACGGACCAAGGCCCCCCTCCCCCCCTCCGAAACCCTAGCGGCGTTACCGCACAAAAGAACCGAGCACGAAGGGCACAGCGCCCCCCCCCCCGCCTAAGAACCCCTAGCCCCGCCCATGAAAAGAGGGTGGGCAAAAGTTGGAGGCCAAGAAGCCAAGAAACGCATTATTTTTTCGGGGGTGGGGCGAGTGCCGAAAAATAC